AGGATGTTGTATGAGATACTTTATCAACTGTACACAAATGTCAAAAAAGTAAACTGAGACAATTATGCTCATGATAGATGCTCTGGTGATCACTGAAAATCTAATGCAAAGACTTAAACAATATGTGAATTAAATGCAGAAATAGGCCCAAAGATCTATGTATTCTCTAATGTAATGTGGCAAGTGAGACTATTTCTGTGTGTATGTGAGTTTGCATGTACCATTGTGCTTACATGAACGACTGTGTATTTGAACAAACTGGAAAATTAAGTCTACTCAACCCACATTCTTACATCAGATAAAGACATTAAACCTCAAACCTAAAAGCAATTATCCCATGCTCATATTCTGCATGTCCAAATATGTCTGTGCCACTTTCTTTCTAGTTGCCATGACATTTACTTGCTATTTTTCCCCATATCAATAATGCAGGATCATAAATTGTGCTCTTTTGAGGTGGCTGTTTAAATAATCCAGGGAGAATTGCTTTTGGCATCCCTTTTTCAGCCCAGGGAGAAAAATAAACAGAAAAAAAAGAATAATATTAAAGCAGCAGTGTGAGCTGCTGGTGGTAGTCTAATGACCTGGAAATGAAATCTGCTGTGATTATTGCTTCAATTCACAGGGAATTAAAAATAAGGGTGACTTTACATTACTTATTAAAGGGCACTTCTACTTTAGCAAAGTCATACATACCAGAATTACTTTCAGTAATGTCTGAGTGGGTTTGACCTTATGGCATTTATCTGTAGACTACATTGCACATGCCAACATGAAAGGTGATAAAAAGGTTAAATAATGTGCTCAAAATCAAAGTTTGGAGACTTTCATTCTCCTGTGATGATTTTTGAATGATGCAAAATGTATAAAGAAGTCCTTTTGTGTTCATTTTAACAAACAACACTGACAAGAAGCCAAACCTTCAGGTTTTCATATATACAGTATATAGCATATATAGCAGACCCAGGTGGCTACTGAATAAATTATCTACATGGATTTTTGTTACACAGACATACTGGCATAGCCCTGGCTACAGCAGCAAGTACTTCACAGAATTAAACAGAAAGTGAGCAGACATATTGGTCTGTAAGGCTGACCTTGGCAGCAAAGAGATGAGATTCTTTGAACAGACAGCAGTATCAAAACAGATAAGAAGCTGTTTTCTGCCCCAGTTCTCTGCTTCCCAGCCACACTAATTCTTGTAGACAAAGAATTCGTGATTGGATGAACTCAGAGGCTCAGGCCAGAGCTGGATTCTGAGGGAATAAAGCCTTGCATGCTACACTGCACTCCCCTGATTTGACCATTATGGAAATATGTAAATAAACTTGTTCAGAGTGCAGCTCTGGGATTGGAGAACTCTAATTGGGAACATGACAAGGATATCAGAGTGCACAATTCATTTTTAAAGGGTCAAAACAAAGATAATGGTATTATTCCAAATCCCATTTTGTCGTTTTGTCTGGTAGATTCATCCTGGATGCACTTCAAGCTTCATTGTTTATTTAAAAGGTAAAACCCATCAGTTTAGCAAACAAGGCATGAACAATTCATGAATAAATAGAAAGGCTGGACAAGTAAAGGGGGTTTTATGCAGAAACAGGTGCTGTTAGGTTCTTGTGACTGATTTTAGAAGTACTGTTCTTTAATATAACTGAAATATGTTGAGGCTGAGTGTCAGCTTTGGTCAGGTGTCTGGCAGTGGATGAAGACCCAGAGGGAAAAGAGCATGTGTGAGTCATATAAGACAGGCCTTTGGCCTTCATGCACACAACCACAAACAGACCAATGCAGACTAGAAACTTGCAGTTTATTGTTTCTGCTGAGGTGTGAGGAATTCTCCATTAATCTGTTTCATCTTTTTTATGAAGCTGTTTCACCAAACATTGTGTGAGATGGATGATTTCTTGGGAACCAGAATAACGGTGGAGCGTTTGAAACATGAGGGGACTACACAAAGCTCCAGTGATCTACTGAAGATCTGCATGTAGATGGGAGCCAGCTGGGCAGCACTGGCGTTCAGGCCGGAGGGAGTCAAACTGTCTGGGCCTGATGTCTTTCTGATCTCTAGGTTTTTAAAAAGGCCACACACATTCTTTTCACAGATCTTCAGGGGTGGGGGACTTGGGGGAAGGGACAACAGTGATCTAATGGGATGATGATGTTGTTGTGATATTTCAATCTGAACTAAAGTACTGGATTAACTGACATACCCACACCACTGAACACAATTTTAGCAAAAACATAAGAAGATAACTTTAATGAGCTTTACTTTGCAAAAGCAGCAGTCTCCTCTAAGTGATTATGAAACAAACAGCCTTGTCTTGCTCAAACCTCCTGGGCTGCCAAGGGCAGAGACTATTTTTAGAATACACACTAGAGAACACAGAGGTCTACTACAAGCACACACAGTGCTTCAACAACACACAGACACACTTTGTTCAAGCCTCAAACACAAGGCCCTGAAAAGTTTAACTTTAATGTTCTGCAGTTCAGGAAAAATAAATCCATCCACCCCAGCTTAATGAAGTAGACTCAAATGGGAATCCACCGGGGATAAGGAGAATCTGCGGTACATTTGCACGTTTCATTTCAGCTGGAAATCATATTAGGGTTGCAAGCTGCTGGAGCCTGAAGTTGAAATGAACCATGGAGACAATTTAAAGGAAAAAGGGATTGAGAAAAGACGCGCTGTGATGGCAGATGAGGAGGTGGAGGTTGAATATGACACAGACGGAAGAGATGGAGCTCATACTGTATGTAGTATAGGGCGGGAGGTTATTGGATGCAGTGGAATTAGAGAGAACAAAAGGAGCAGAGATGGTTGACAATCTGGAGGAAGAGATGATCAGGAGGAGAACTGAGGTTCTGAAAAGGCAGAGGAGAGGTCGGAGTCACGTACTTGGCATTGGTGCAGAAAATAAATTGGTATGTTGAACACAGGAAGAGAGGTCAGTTGGAGTTCTACAGCGACGGGGCTCCTGAACATCCTTCTCCTCAGGCAGGAGGGCTGACTGAACATCAAAGACACAAGGTGATGCATTGGAGGTTGTGGTGTAATAAAATAAGTTGCACCTTGTTTAAAAATGATTTTAAAATAAGTGTTTCTACCTCCATGTTTAAGCTGCTTACACTTGTGCAGATTTCTGTGCACTTTTTCTGAAATTGATTGTTGCAGTATCAGTAGAGAAGAATCCACCTTACTGAGAAATTTATTATATAGAAGCCCAGTTCCACCAGTAAAAGAAAAAAGAAGAAGAAAAGTTAGTAATGCTGAGGAAAAAATATACGGTGAGGAAAAATGTTGACTAAGTCACTGACACCTAGGCCACTGGCACACCTCTCATTTTCTTAATACTCATGGTGATTTGAATCCTTCCATTATCTAGATCACTTATGTTGAAGAAGGTCGTGGGGGGCAGCTTAGAGCCAATCCCAGTTGACACTGGGCAAGAGGCAGAGTACAGGTCGTCACTCTCTCATAGGACTGACACCTAAAGACAAACAACCACACACTCACACTGCCAGAATTAAGTCATAAGTGGCTGAATACTAAAGAAGCAAAGATTTTGCTGAATGCAAGAGTAAAGACGAGAAGTGTCATGAGTTCTCCCTGGAAGCTTGTATATTTATCATGGTTGGCTAATCTATCACACCTGTAGTATAACAGAAACAGACCATAGCTGCCACCAAAGTCAGTCTGTGCATTCCTCAACAGATTACATCACACAGATATTCATACAGCTCCTCTTTCATGGATGAATCAGGCAGGTGGCAGTCTATTGTGGTGAGAAGAGAAAACCCTATATTGTGTTTCCAGGGTGTGTGTGTGTGTGTGTGTGCGTGTAG